TTGGTGGCTGTTCATTGCTTATTCGCTTAGAAAAACGGGCTTATCCAAATTTTTTGATTCTTTGAAATTCCCGCGCAAACGACCGCATTAAAAACATTGAACTTTTGCTGAAGTAGGTTTTGAACGGTGTCCTTGAATGTGCATGGAATTACTCTGAATTAAGTACTGAATAAGACGGTAATACTTAGGCCGCATGCATGAACATCCGCGCTAAGAAAGAGTAAGAAAGGGGGGAGGGGGATGAAGGGGCTTTAACATTCGTGTTGTGAAAAAAGCGGTCATAGTTGAGATTGAACTCAAGGCTCCTCTCCAGATCCCATACGATTTCCCCTTTGGTTTTTCACAAAAACGAATTCCAGCTTACCCTCTGATGACCTGCCGCCGAGGTCTGCCACAAATTCTAGCGCCGTGTCAGATCAGCTCATGCTATATGCAAATTACAAGTGGCTCGTCCGCGCTGTAAAAGATAGCTACGCGTAGCGTTTAAAGCAACACACAAAAACAAGAGAAAGAACCTTTAGACTGGTTGAGCACTTTTCTAACCAAATTACTAAATAAAGCTTAATCCGTAATCTTAAGAGTTCATTCCCAGCCTTTATGGGCAGTAAGAAATTTTTTTACCATGGGTTATCATAGGGCGATAATATTCTCATTTTTGTATTATGCTCGATCTATGCTCTTTCACCAATTTCTTGCTCAGGTGTCAATTTCGCACTCCCCGCCCCACTCGCATTTAAATTCCATTCGAGTAGAGGAAAGGATGTAGGTAGTAGCGGAGTAATGGAGTGAGAATGTCCACTGTGAGAGAATTTCTCCATCATACGGCTCAGCTGAATTACTATAAGAGCTAAATCAAAACAACAAATATTTTTGTGATGAGTTTTACAGTTAGCTAATACAGCTTAGAAAAATGATAGAGTAAGCCATTCTTTGCGCGGAAGCACAATCTGCCTCATTATTCCTGCAATGTTCATATTGCGCCTTTCAACATATTTAAAACTTATCAAGATAAATTGAAAGTTTATTAAGATAAAAAATTCAATAGAATTTCCCATTTTATCACATTGGAGAATCGTTTTTCCCAAGCACATTGGGAACGACCTATATAATAATTCTACATGGTTGCCCAGATCTAAACTATCCACTGTTCCTGAAAACCTTCAAACTCGGCTATGCAAACAGAAAAACTCAATGAAAAATAAATCCTTTGGTAATTGTA